GTATAATTAATTAAGGAATTAACATACTCCACCGAGATCTAAAAATAGAACTGTACAAAAAAAAAAAATTCAAAGGGTGTATTATATCGCGCGAACAAAAAAACAAAAACGGCTGTAAGTCATGACCGCAAGTAAAAAATGCAGAAATAGGTTTTTAACTTCTATATATTATACAGCGTTAACCATTGTACATCGTAGAGCGTCCATTCGTTTCTTTCAAAAGGCTTTCCGTGTCTAGAAAATTGCACTATAAAAGAATCTCGGAAAGCCATTTTACAGAGAGCCATCCCCCCGCACCATGCACGATACCTTCTCATTACTCATACACTTTCTCTCTCTCTTTCCCCCCTCAGCACGCTCTTACTTTCACATACATACACACACGATACACACATCCTCTCCCCCCCCCCTTTTAATAATTATTTTTGTAACACCATTAATTATGTTTCACAATTCACTGTTTCCCTGTTACGATAAAGCGTCATTAACAATGACAAGTGCGTTCCATCGTTTCGACAAATTTGTTCATCGATATTTTTCGTTTTCACCCACAGTTTTTATCCCCCCCCTCTACATTTCGTTCTCCCTCTTATGCACGCACACTCAAACACGTTTTCTCTTCCCCGTCAAACCGATATTCGCGTTTACACTGTTCTTAGCAATCACGCACTCTCTCCGCGAGAGTTTAAAATTCTCCAGCACTTATTTTTCACATAATTTTTTTTCCTCTTTTTTTTTCTTTTCGTCGTTTTTGCTTCTTTTTTTTCCTCTTTTTAATTACAGTTCATCACACTGTTGGATTATACATAAATAAATAAATAATAAATCGGGATGCCACGTGCTTTAGAAACAAGACCATTTCTCGTTCTAAGTAATGAAGATTTCGAAGATTTGCTCTTAGGCCTTTTTTTTTACACTTCGTAGAAACGTGTCATGGGTCGACAAGTGTGTGTCGTCGGTATCGATGGTGAATTTTAGGATACGCCCGCAAATCAATGATGCAAAATGTTACGTAGACCGTGTATGGTTTATCATCGATCGCGCGAGCGCAGCTACACAGCCGCAACGACAAATTCAAGTGTTTTTCGCTAGGTTTTTTTGTTTCACTACTACGCGTCATATATTCCCCCTAGATAATTCGACACACTTGCATTCTCGTTCACACTGTCGTAATGTTTCGCTGCACACGCTCACTTGCATACTCGTAGTTCGTACACACGTTTCCCCTATACACTTATTTACTGCTGGTCGGGCCGTTATCCTGAAACACGTTTAGTCGTAACGAAAAAATCTCGATTGCCACAATGTACAAACTGAAGTTCTTCGATGTTGCTTATGAACGAATACTTTAACAATACTTTAATGGGCTTTCTTCATCTGCATACCTGTCTTCAGCATTTACCGTTATTTAAAAATCTGGATTTTGGGTCTAGGTCCGTTGTACTGGATGTGTGGCGCAATAAGGACCGTCTGTCGCGAAACGACCGCTACGATTTTGCCGGTATTTCCGCGAAACTGATGAACAAATTTTTCAAACAAAAGTTAATCAGCATTCAGTTGACAATAAATCGTGTTAATGAAAATTTACAAAAAAGTTTTTATTCAATAAAAAATAAAGATCACTACAATTTTTTTAAATGAAACCATATATTTTTTTCATGTGCCAATGAATGCATATTTGAATTCTCTTCAAAAAAGTATTAGAGAACTTAGGTCGAAAATTGATAAATTTAGAAATTATGATTTTTGTCCCGAACGCCCATATACTCGAAACACTGCGTCTCACCGAGATTCAAAGGGAATCTCCTAATTCTTACTCATGCGCTCAGGTTGCTCGAGCGTCACGTAGTGACGTAGATAATTGGCGGAAAGAGCCGAGCAGGCTTCGCACACGGCCAGAGCTACCGCTACACTTGTGTGAGAGCACGAGGACGGTATAGTGGGAGACAGCGGTAGGTCATAGTGGGGGGTCCACGGCCCACAATTCTGGCATCACTGGTGGGAACACCACGGTTGACGCGCAACCAAAGAAGAATGGCTGATTTCAATTAAAAATACGAGGCACCTCTGCCCAAAAGCTCGGCCGACGACAGAGAGCCAGTCCTACCAACAGGACCACCAAAGCCTAGGCCAAGGAACCAACGCCAAAGAACAAGAGTGAAAAATTGGAAGACCAATCGCGGAAAACCGCAGGCTCAAGAGGCAAAGGCCAAGGAAATAACCGATTCCGCGGAGATGACCGCTGGCGTACTAAAGGCTCAAAAGGAAGTCATCACCAACGAGTCTATTTGGCAAGACAGTCCTTTTTCCGGCACACATCCAGTACAACGGATCTAGACCCAAAATATAGATTTTTAAACAACGGTAAATGCTGAAGACAGGTATACAGATAAGGAGAGCCCATTAAATATCATACCTGATGATATGTACATTCCGGCCCCAATTGTCGAGTACTTCAAAGCTATCGCAAATACTACCACCCCACAGGGTGATCTAGTAAAACTCAATATTCCTGAGTGCGCGATACCAACCAACGCGTTGAAGCTGAAGGTCAAATACCAGAGCAGCCGTCTGGTGGTTTCGGTGTTTGCGGTGCGGCCAACCATAACACGTACTAGTGTTATGTATCTCCGCTGGTAACATCTAGATTAGTGAAGGCTACAGTACAGCAAAACGAAGATAGAAGGTTTGAGCCATGGAGACCGCTTCCCGATGGGATGTCCCCCCAAAACGGTATACCGACACAAAACTTATGGGGTTACCGTCCTAACGTTGAACGACTGAATAACGAAGGACTCCAAAAAATCATAGTTTATAATATCGATGAAGTCTTAAAGTAAAGGCCAAGTATACGTATCACGTTTTATTTAACTTTCAATTTGATTTGTCATTTTTTTTTTCCTAATACAGTACAAACTTTTGGTTATGTTCAACCAAAAGAATTTATTACTAATTCATAGAAGAAAATGAAAAAAAAATCAGTCAAATGTATGATCAACGTTGGGTTCTATCACTACAAGAATATCTACTATATAGTTAGTCTGAGTTTAAAATGTGTCTACATTTCGCTTTTGAAAGCAACATATGTAAATTTTTCGGTCGGTAATTTTTAATAATGAAACTTATGTACATTCTAACATTAAGACTATAAATTATAAGTTATGAAAAAGGAACAATTCTTGTGTGAGCATATTGAAGAGAATACATGAAGGAAGTAGGTACAAAAATCACTTCGGCGTTTAGCAAAAATACTTCACAGACAAAATGACGGCCCACGCGAATTTTTAAATGCCGTTACTTCTATTACTTACTTTATTTTTACATCCTTCATAAGGATTCCACAAAAGTAACAGACCTCTACACCAACGCGCGTACACATGCGCTCACCAGCACCTGTGTATACACATGTTTACGAATATGCGTTTATACACGAGCGATAACTCGTCAAATAAAAATTCTCCTCTCGATAGATAGTAAGTATGTAAAGGTAAAAGCTACACATGCGTTCTTTGACATGAGATACATCGGATACGTCAATTAATAAGATGAATTTCTGTCCATATTCTTTCTTTCCTTCTTTCTTACTTCTTTTTTTCGTCTTAGTTGCATTAAGTATTTTTATAATCACATTCTACATCGAGCGAACAGTTGCAACACAGTCAGAGTGTAGTTTGGAAAGAATTGCGTAGATTGTTCATAGCTAAGTTTATTATGATTTCATTTAAATTCTTTAAATATTTGAATTCTTATGCAAATTGCATCAGACTCGTTGCTTCGGGTGATACTTTTATATGTTCCCACCGGAAGGATAAAAGAAAAATGCTCCGAATTGAAAATTCACCGGAGTTTTTGGCGAAGCACAGGTGTATACAAAATCGTCTGATTGTAGCTGCGTTCTGTTCAAATTTGGTTCGGATGCCGATCTCGTTATTTTCGGTAATCCTCGTAAAAGACCCTCTAAACTAGCTAAGATCTGACGAAATATTGGTCTCTCCTCTCTAGAAAATTTGATACAATCCTCTGTCAGTCTTTTCAACGCTTTTGGAGTATCTGAACGTAATTTATTCAAATCTGGACGCAAATTTCCACGCCCGACCATAAATAATATCTGATCCTTGTTATTAATATGAGAATATGGTAATTGACCAGATAATAATTCGAATAAAACAACGCCGAATGCGTAAACGTCTGACTGAAAACTGTATGGATTTTCCTCTTGCATTCTTATGACTTCTGGTGCCATCCAGAGAATAGATCCAGTTGGTTGATGAAATTGTTGAGAACCAGACCATCTAGTCTTTGCTGTAGCCAGACCAAAATCACCAATTTTCACAGTGAGATCATCATGCAGAAATATATTATTACTTTTCAAATCTCTATGGATGATATTTTTTGCATGTAAATAGTCCATTCCCTGTGCAGTTTGTCTTCCAATTTCTATCAATGTGAATAAATCAAACTTTGTCTCACATACATGCAGATGTTTATACAATGAAGATCCTTCACACCATTGAGTAACAATTGCCAGTTGTGGTTTACTGACACATCCCATGAACAAAAGGATATTTACATGCCGTGTCTTACGTAACACTGCAACTTCATTTTTAAATGCTTGTAACTGAGCAGCAGTAGGTATTTTAACATTGAGCGTTTTCACAGCTACAGGTCCATGCCAATGAGCTTTGTATACTGTTCCAAAAGAACCTGATCCAATACGAGCTCCAACTAAAATCTCATCTGCTGGAATTTCCCAATCTTCTATGGATTCTCTAGGTGCTAAGAGATTTTTAGATGATTCATCAGCTGATCTTGCTCTTGGTCTTTTTGGCCTCAGAGTACTAGTAGGACTAGCCTGTGTTGACTGACTATGTTTTGTTGGACTACTACCAGGTGATACAGCACTTTGTGTGGTACCAACAGGACGACCTAAACTCTGAGATCTGCTGTATTCATCTAAATTAGCAGATTCACCATTTGGTTTTACCATATTAAAACAAACATTAGGCGCAGAGCTAGAACGATCTTGTTGTCCCAAAGAACGTGGATGTCTTTGGTTTCTTGATGGTGCTAAAGATGGGGACATACTTCTGCTTAAACCATAACTAGAAGGAAGTTGCAATATGCCAGCTGTACTTTCAAGATTATGTGCTAATAATACTTGGTAGTAAGCATCCTGCATGCGTACTTGGTGACACAGGGCAGGTACACCAGCAGCACATCTTTGATGAAATCGATAATTGCACGTTCTACAATAAAATCCCTGAAAGAGGAGTTTTCTACAGCATTCGCAAAATGATAGTGAGAAGAAAGTCTTGCGCACAAAATTATGTGAAATGGAAGTAGTTATTGGAAACTTATCCAAGATTTCTACAGATATTTCATCGCAGTCAAGCAAAGAGATGTCTGTGTCCCAAGAAGTAAGATATTTGGACTCATCTGTACCCAAAATATATACCACACACATTTCTGTAGTCAAATTCCTTAATTTCATTGCTTTGGCAAGTGCATCCCTTAGTGAAAGACCTTCTCGAACCTGTACACTAGTGCGTTGCTGATTAGGTAAATGTGCCCTCAGCAAAGACCTCATCAGCGTTCTTTGACCCCTGGCAGATGCATTGGTATCACGAAATTCACCCTCTGATGTGGAAGCACTACCAGATACTCGACTGGCATTCAACAATTCATTGAGCTTCTGTTCCTTGGACTCTAAATCATGCAACTTGCTAGTTAACTCTTGATATTCATTCAGATATATTGAAGGTGGATGTTGAAATCCAGCAAAACGGTTGTTCAGAGCATCAATGTTTTGTCGAGTAACGTGTATCACATTTTGTATATTTCTCAGCTCATACCTCAGTGGATCTGTGTCCAAATAACCGTCCTCGGAATCGCTCAATTCTCCCGATTCCGGGCCGCTACCTCGTGAAGAGGACATAGCTATCTTTCGTACAGGCGAGTGTACCTTTTTTCTGTGTCGACGATGACGGGGCGATAACGTCGAGGACGAGGAGGAAGGCGATGTAGCTGTTCCTTCCTCGATCCCACGACGCGAGAACTCCGTGTACGCGTTCGCACGCACCGCCGTATAATACCTCTGCTCGCCGATCACGGCCATCTTCTTGCTCCGTCGGGCAGCATCCTGGGCCGCTGCTGCTGCGCTTCGGAACACCTTGGTAGCTTTGAGGGCTACCGGTTACCGCCGAATTTTTCTCTAGTTCGAGCTTTCACCACGCCGCTGTCGCCTCACCTCCCACCGCACGGCGACTCACGACGCGTCCTCACGCACCTTTCTTTTCTTCTTCTTCTTCTTTCCTCTGTACACCTCTCTCCTACCTCCTTCTTTCTTCTTATGTCCGCCGAATCGAACCTACTTTCCGATGCGCGTCTTTACACACCATGCCGTATATAGCCTGACTTTTCGGCCATTAAATTTCCGACAATTGCGCCGCGCAACAGATTTTCTGTTGTCCCGTATGAACGCGATCAGTCCCGAAATCGGGCAGAAAATTCTCTCGTTTCGACCTCCTGCCTGCTTTCCCCCCCTCTACTTCTTCTCTGGAGCCCTTCCGAAAGAAAACTGGCACGAGCGTTGCAGGACCGAGAGCAGAGGCGCGGGGCTATGTTTCTTAAAGCGCCGGTGCTGCCAGTCTCTTTCTCTACGTACAACCTTCCGCCCCTTCCCACTGATTTTCTTCCTCTTCCTCTGTTTAAATTCTACCTGTTTACTTACACAATTCCTTCGCAATCTTCTCACAATAATACCACCTTCTCCATTCGATTTTTCTGTCCTTTCAAACTTTTATTTCACACGGTTGACAATCTCGAGTATTTTAGAAAATTTCAGTCTCAAACGTTTAACTGAAAAATCGAACTACACCATCGAAACACAACTGTCAGATGAAACAATTGAATGTTCTTAATAACTTGAGATCAAAGTGTTTTATTTTGTTACATACGATTCAGATTTTAATTTGAACTGTTTCGATGATTTATTATAAGCGTAAATTTTTTTGTTAGAACATCAGACAAATTTTTGTTTCTTTCATTAACACTCTTTGACAAATCTATTCTGTTTTTTACTACTTAAAACAGAGAATCAAACGCTCTCTTTGCATCCTCGTTGAAGAACGACCGTTTGGAGTAGGACTATAATTCAAGTTCAATTTTTCTGTAAACATAACTACTCGCGTTGCGTTTTTGACGTCACTGCAGACGTGCTTTGACGTCAGCAGCATATGGTACGGTTACCTAGGCAACAGAAGTCCATCCTAATTGGTCCAATGCTTGCGTACGTACTTGCTGTGCGTATATCTAACAACAGTTAAAAAAAAAGGAAATGCAAAATCCTCAAGGATAACTTATAAATCGACAAAAATAGTTGCTTCAATATCTTTTAGTTATTCCATTACATTACGTATTTGATTGTATTGACGATATCATTGGACCTCTCTATAATCTAATTTTAATCGTTCGACTTTCTACTCTTTATCTTCTGATAACAAAAAAATCGAAAATGGTAGCTGGTAAAGTAGCCTTTGTAACAGGTGTGTGTATTAAAAACATAAAAATAAAATAATAGGATTAGAACAGAGAACTGTAACAAAGATTGTGCTCATAACGAATTAAATCTATTTCTATTACAGGTGCTGGAAGCGGAATAGGTAAAGAAGTATGTCGCATTTTAGCAAGACAAGGAGCCAATGTTGTTGCTAGTGATCGTAATGCAAAAAGTGCCGAAGAAATCATTGAATCTTTACATGGTTTAAATACGAGAAATTATTATTTTCTTCAATTATGTACTATATCTCCACGCAGTTGTTAAAATTATATATAATAATTTTTAGATTTGAAACATCTGGCATTAAATCTAGATGTCACAAATGAACAGAGTGTTAAAGAAGCATTTAAAAATGTAATAAGCAAATATTCAACTCCTCCTACTATTATAATCAATTCTGCAGGGATTACACGAGATCAATTCATCTTAAAACTTACTAAAAATAACTTTGAACAAGTACTGGATGTAAATCTAAAAGGAACATTTTTTGTAATGCAAACAGCAGTAAAAGAAATGATTGATGCTGATGTGAGTAAATGTGGTTCAATTGTTAATTTAAGTTCTATCATTGGCAAAGTGGGAAACATGGGTCAAGCTAATTATGCTGCTTCAAAAGCTGGTGTGATAGCTCTTACAAAGACTGCTTCTTTAGAATTTGGACCGTAAGTATTAAAATATTAATCATGATAATAATTATATATTCATAATACTGTTAAATATGTGAATACATTCTTATTACAGATTTGGTATTCGTGTTAACACAGTACTACCAGGCTTTATAGAAACTCCTATGACAGACAGTGTACCTGATAACGTAAAGCAGATGTTTATAAAGAAAATACCCCTTCATAGAATGGGTAAACCAGAAGAAGTAGCAGAAGTTATTACATTTTTAGCATCTAGCAAAAGCTCTTATGTTAATGGAACATCAATTGAAGTCACAGGAGGAATGCATTGAATAAAAATTTGTTAAATATATATATATTTTTATATC